AAAACATTTCATTTCTAAGATTAATTAATTAATTAGCTTTTTGCTTTTTTTTTTTTTTTTTTTTGTCAGAGCTGAGGACCGAACCCAGGGCCTTGCACTTGCTAGAAAAGTGCTCTACCACTGAGCTAAATCCCCAACCTCATTTGTTTGTTTTTTAAGACAGGGTTTCCCTATGTAACCTGGCTGTCCTGGAATTCACTCTGTAGACCAGGCTGGCCTCGAACCCAGAACTTAGAGATTGCCTGCCTCTGCCTCCCGAGTGCTGGGATTTATTTTTATTCTGTGTGTGTGTGTTGAGTGTTTTTTTTTTTTTTTTTTTTTTGGTTTTTCGAGACAGGGTTTCTCTGTGTAGTTTTGCGCCTTTCCTGGGACTCACTTGGTAGCCCAGGCTGGCCTCGAACTCACAGAGATCCGCCTGGCTCTGCCTCCCGAGTGTTGGGATTAAAGGCGTGCGCCACCACCGCCCGGCGTGTGTTGAGTGTTTTACTTGAATATTTGTCTATGCACTGTGTGCATGCCTAGCACCTGCAGAGGCCTAAAGAGGGGTGTTGGATCCCCTGGAACTGGAGTTCTAGACAGTTGTGAATTGCCATGTGGATGCTGGAAATGGTAGAGTACTGGCCTAGCATGCAAGAAGGCCTGGGCTCATTCTCCAGCCCCTGGGCATCGTGGTATGTGCCAGGAATCCCAGCACTGGGGAGGTGGGGATGATGGGATCAGAGATTTGAGACTATCCTTGGCTATGGAGGGAGTTCTAGGCCAGCTTGGGCTTCAGGAGACCTTGTCTCAAAAACAAAAGGGGGCTGGAGAGATGGCTCAGGAGTTAAGAGTGCTGCCTGTTCTTCCAGAGGTCCTAAATTCAATTCCCAGCTACCACAAGGTGGCTCACAAACATCTATAATGAGATCTGGTGCCCTCTTCTGGTGTGCAGACATTCCTGCATGCAGAACACTGTATATGTGATAAATAAATCTAAAGAGAGAGAGAGAGAGAGAGAGAGAGAGAGATCTAGCTGATACAAAAACACAATTCTCACTTAAACAAAGGTAGTTTATTCTGGAGTGCTGCAGGCCACAGGAATATATCATAAGAACTCAGGTGGTTATGACAAAGTCACTACCTGGAGGAATCAGGGAATTCCTCCAGAGGAAGCCAAATCCCAAGGAATTTTTGGTGTTACTTGGCTTGTTATATATCAGCTGTATTCTGTTATGAAAGTCATGTGTGCCTTCATGGTTTTCCCAATTGACTTTTCCCTAAGAAGGGCTAACAGTGTGGACTGATCACTCTCTGGACATACACATTCCAGGTATTTGGAGAACAGCCTCAGGAAAGGCTTTCTCTGGAATCAGATAGCTCCCTTGGCCACTTTCAAGGACTAGCAGTAATAACAGTCCACATGCAAGTCTCCTGATTTAAGACAAATTCCACAAGGAGACACCGCCTAGGTCAGGTGAATGTTCAGTAATAGCTTTACACAATTCAGCTCGGACCCTCCTTTCTTACAGCCTTACTAACTTTATAGACTGCTAACTCCTTATCTAACCACTTCTAGGAATATTTAGATAACCTTCTGTGCTGACAGCTATGCTCAGCCCGAACCCCAGTTCAAGCCTCCCTGTAATTATCATCATTAGCAGCATCCGGCCAGGTCCATCCCCAGATGGAGGAAAGTACCTTATCAGAGATACCTCTGTATTCTCTAAGAACAGACTTAACCATCCAGGCTACCGGTTTGAGAAGGCCTGGCAGATGTGCCAATTAAGCTTTACTTCCTCCTTTCCCGAACCTTACCTCTGGTTCCAGATCTCCCTTTAACTATCGCCAGAGGCATCTAGCTTACACAGGTTGCCTAGCAACTGAGCACACTTTCCCCTACCCTGCAGAAAAACGGCAGATAGCTTGGACAGATGGGAGCCACAGGAAAAAAGAAGACAGTTTTATTTTCTCCCATTGACCTAGCAACTTAGAGATTCTTAACATTTTCTACCAATCACATTTAAGATTATAGTTGAGCACATAAGAGCCCTCTTCTTAGATATTACCTGAATTTAGCCTTTAGTTAATTCATTTCCCCAATGGTCACTTCCCTTTGGGGTTGCAAATGATAATTAACGGTTATTGCGTCTCTATGTGATTCTTATCACCCCTCCATTTGACCCTGGAAGCCTGGCTTTATATACCAGGACTTCCAGGGCACGGGGAGAGAGAAGAGAAAAGAGAATGGAAGAACTAGACGGGTAAGAACTTGAGAGGAACAAACTGAGATGGGGAAGAACTAGGTTGTAGGGCTAGAAGAGAGTACCAGAGGAACGAGATGGAAGATGAGGAAGAGCCAGATGAGGAAGAACTAGATGGGGAGAGAGGAGATGGGAGAAAAGATGATATGGGAAGGAACAAGATGGATGAGAACCTAGAAGGGGCAGAACTAGATGAAGGAATTAAGATAGATCCTAGAGGGGACCGCAGACAAGTGTGGAGAGAAATCAGGCTAGAAATGAGCTAAATACGAGAGCAGAATATAAGCTTGTAACTGACACAGAAGAATAAAGTGTATGGACTAAGGAGTTTCGTGTACATAGATTCATTTCTTCTCATCAAAGATTAATTATCAGCTGGTTGTAGATTCTTCCCGGACCCTGGGAGGGGACTATCGAGGGGCTGGACCCCCTTAGTCCCCGATACTGGAGCCAAATATGAGTGTCCACAGCCGGGGACAGAGATTCAGATCCAGGCTTTCCATAAATGCTGTGTTCTCATGCCGTGATAGTTCCATGAAGTTTTTGTTAGTTGGTTGGTTGGGTTTTTTTGAGACAGGGTTTCTCTGTGTGTAGCCCTGGCTCTCCTGGAAATCGCTCTTTAGACCAGGCTGTAGACCAGACTCAGAGATCCACCTTCCTTGGCCTCCCCTGTGCTGGGACTAAAGGCGTGCGCCGCCACCCTGATCTCCAATGAAGGTTTATAAAAAGAGAACAGAGCCCAGCGGTGGTGGCACACACCTTTGATCCCAGCACTAGGGAGGCAGAGTCAGGCGGATTTCTTGTGAGTTCGAGGCCAGCCTGGGCTACAGAGCTAGTCCAGGACAGGCACCAAAACTACACAGAGAAACCCTGTCTCAAAAAACCAAAAAAACAAAGAGAGAGAGAGAGAGAGAGAGAGAGAGAGAGAGAGAGAGAGAGAGAGAGAGAGAACAAAAGAAACCATAAATCAAATCACCTCTAAAATACCTTGAGTTATTTTAAATACCAATGCATTAGGTCAGCTGATTATGGGAAGGTGGGACTCTCAGCCACAGGCCTCAGGGCCTGCCTGACACTTCAGCCTCTGGGTTGGCTGAAGCTAGTGTTCTGGTTTACATTCCAAAAGAGTTATTTAGGTCATTGGACGGCCATAAATGGCTATGGAGATTGGCTCAAGATAACTCAGCTCTGGACTCCAACATTTTGAACTCTCCACTCTCACTGAATCAGCTCGAGGTCCAGCAGGGGTGGAGGGATTCCACATCTGAAACAAGCTGGGTATGGCTGCAAATGCTTATAATTCTAGACCAGGGAGGCAGAAGCAGGATGATGGTATACAGTGAGCTCCAGGCAGGCCAAAGCTGCATAGGAGACCCTGTTTCAAAAGACAAACAAACAAAACAACAAGATCCAAAGCAGTTCAGACAAAATAGTAAAGTTACTGATGAAAGGTTTACAACACGCCCCCACGGTCGGGCGTGTTCGCATATGCCCAACAGACACTTCCACCTAGCCAGTTCCAGGTCAGGATAGCCATTTCCGGGTCAGGGCATCTCGCGTGACCAAGATCCGTGACGTTCCATTGGCTACGTAGGCGTGCAACGTGGCCATGTGATCTACGCGCTTGCGTGTAGTAGTGACGCTGATCTGTCCACGCCCAGCCTTTAAAATCCGGCGCCATGTTCCCGGTTCCTTCTTCTTCTTCTTCCTCCTTCTTCTCCACACACGTGTTTCCCGCAGGCCTGTTCACTCTCTGTCCCTTTACCTTTAATAAAACTCTTGTTAGCGGATTCTGTCGTGTTTCGTGGCATTTCCTTGCAGGGTAAGAACACAACGCAGCCGAAAAACTAACAACTATAATATGATTGATCGATATGTATTTCTGACATAATATTTTCTCAATGTTAAAAAAATTTTAAAGATTTGGGTCTGGTTAATTTCAGTATGAGATGATTTTTTTATTTGCAACTTTTAAAAATAAGTTAAAAATAAAGTTATTTTTAATAACAAACTTATTATCATTAAATAAGCCCAGCACTTGAGAAGCAGAGGCAGGGGAAAACAGAACTCTGTGGGTTCAAGGCAGCCTGATCTACATAGTGAGTTTCAGGCCATCCAGGGATATATAGTGACACCATATTACACTTCCCATGTCCCCCCAAAAGATTTATTTTTACTCTTAATTATATCTCTGTATGGGTATGTACATGTGAGTGCAGTGCCTGAAGAGGCCAGAAGAGGGAGTCAGAGTTCCCAAAGCTGGAGTTTATAGGTGGCTGGGAGCCAAGCTCAGGTCCTCTGCAAGAGCAACACTCAGTCTTAACTGCTGAGCCATGTCTTCAGTCCTTGAAATGAATATTTTTAAACATTCCATAATTACAGAGGCCCTTGAGAATCATGGCTGTGCTCAAGGTATTTCCTCACTGTTTTTTTTTTTTTTCCAGAGAAGTCCCTTTGGACAGATTCATCCTGAGCTGACCTAGCTGATGGTCAGTGACAGAGTTTAGACAAGAGGGCATCATCAGAGGAACTGAAGCAGAAACAGGAGGTGATAAGGGGCCGTGTTGGGGGCATGGAGGAGAGGTCTTCAGCTGAATCAGAGGCAGCTGGTAGGGAAGGGGACTCTCCAAGACCAGCATTCCCCAGTGGGTAGATCTTCTCAAAACTGAACACAGGGCCTGGAAGGACTGTCCATTACTAGGTGGATGGAGTGGGTAGGAAAGAGTCTGGGGGGGGGGGGGGGGAGGGTAGGGTGGGGCCCAGATCTGCTTCTTGCAGGAAGGTGGGAGAGGGGTTATGAGAACAGGCAGGCCTTTCTCAACAAGGGCTCTGGCCCTTGGGGGAGTGAGGCTTTCTCCTGAAGGAAGTCACAAAGCAGGTCTGCCGGGGACCCCAGGAACCACTTGTAAGCTTCTCCCCACCACCCAGCCTTGGTCTCTGCCGTCCTCTAAGATCTGTTTTTCTCAGCATTCTGTTAAGTAATCAAACTGAAGTTGAAAGACCCTAGCCCTTCAGGCTTACACCCCCAAGCCTCAGGAAGAGAGAAACTTCAAGCACCAGGAAATGAGAAACTAAAAATCTAGTTCCCAGGGCAACCTGACTTAGCCACTACTCAATCACCCCTGTAACAATGTAACAATGTAAAAAGATTTCTGTTAAGAGATGTGCTCAACTGTGACTGGGATATTTGCAGGTGTTCCAGGAAGGACCACTGTGACATTTGTGTAAACTCCACTCCCGCCCTGATACCCGCCTTGAGGTTTACGTAACTGTACCCCCTCTGTGATCACCCTGTGATCAGGCCATGAAATCCAATGGGAATTGTAATCTTATGGGTTTTATGGGTTTTTCCTTTAAAAGCCCTTATGGGGCTGCAGTAAGATGCAGCTCTTGCTCTTAGGAGCAGAGTTTGCCCTTCTATATAGAAGCTTAATAAATCCTCATGCTGTTGCATCAACTGGACTGGAGTCTGGGTTCTTGGGGCGCCCATTTGAGACCCTACACTTTGGGGTCCAACAAAGTCAGGTAATTCCACAGCATACAGGAAGCTGAGAATCCAAATCCAGCTAGGGCTACAGTGTGAGACTGTCTCAAAAGAAAAACAAACAAAAGGGTTGTATGCAGATTCCAGCAATCTCCCTGCAGCTCCTGGGCGCTCCCTCCCCTAACCCTTCCCCACTGGGTCCTGTCAGGGTCCCCAGACCTCAGCGGGACTCCAGGACAGAAGTGCCGCTCAGGCCATGAAGTTCAGCGTGTAGACAACACCACATGCTTCACAAAATGAAAACAAAGGCCTGATCCTCCAAAGCCCATAGACATGGGAAAGTCTCTAAATGTGCTAATCTTGCCTTTGGGCTTCTGCAATTCTGCTTCTGGCTAACCGTTCTTGTTAACTGAAGTATGTCAACCCATAACATGGTTTTTGTGCTTAAAAGCTCATCCTGAGAAAGGCTCAGGGCTACAGTGGAATCCTGAACACCCAGTGTAGTCGCTGACCAGGAAATAAAGACTTTCCCTTGGCTTACACCCATGTCCAGTCAGTCTTCTCTGGGGGATACCCCACAGCAGGTTATGATCCTGTCCTTCAGTCCCCCTCCTGACAGTGTTTTATTGTTTTTCTCTTTATTAATGGAAAGCAGAAAAAGGGGCTTTATTCAATGTGGCCACATTGTGGAGAAGGACAAAAGACCCAGCGAACCCCAAGTCTGTTTGGGGATCCTAAAGTGAAATTAAAACTTGAGTAGAGGCCAGAGGGGCACACATTCAAGCAGTCTGTGTCAAGGTGTGGCCCAGGCCACTGCTGACACATCCCTGCCTGTGCTTCCGGCTCATTCTGTGAGATGAACTGAGAAGGCATTAGGGCTGTATGGAGTCTCTTCCTGGAGACAAGGCTTCCCTCTGCCTGGGGCTTTTTCATTCTTCCAGCCTGAGATTCCTGAGGAAATGCTCATTTCTCAGGGTGTAATGTTTCAGTCCTCTGCTAGATTGAGAGACACAAGGTCTGATTAGATTCTTTATTCCCGTCAGAACAGTTAGAATTCCCTATTTATTTTTTTGGTGGGGGGGGCTGTTCTAGAACTCACTATATAGACCAGGCTGGCCTTGAACTCCTAGAGATCCATCTGCCTCTGTCTTCTGAGTGCTGGGATTAAAGGCGTGTGCCACCATGCTCAGCTGGATTCTCCACTTTATGTCTATGTGGGAAACAAACCTAAATGCAATGCATGTAGGGACCAAGGTCAGAGCACACTTAGTGTCGGGTAGAGCATACGAATGTTTCTGTAATGCCTTGGCCAACCTCCCATCTCAGCCCCTCCCACTCACCCCTGTTACCGATGGATTGCATGTTTAGAACATTCACAGAAGTTTCTGTGAATGGTTTGTTTTTTCAAGACAGGGTTTCTCTGTGTAGCCCTGGCTGTGCTGGAACTTGCTCCATAGACCAGGCTGGCCTTGAACTCACAGAGATCTCCTTGATTCTGCCTCCCGAGTACTGACTGGGATTAAAGGCATGCGCCACCATAGCCCTGCTACAGTTGTGGCCTTTGTTCTCAGTTCCCTGCTTCAAGAAGTGAAGAGAGATGCCGGGCGGTCGTGGCTCACACCTTTAATCCCAGTACTCGGGAGGCAGAGCCAGGCGGATCTCTGTGAGTTCGAGGCCAGCCTGGTCTACAGAGCGAGATCCAGGAAAAGTGCAAAACTACACAGAGAAACCCTGTGAAGAGAGAACAAAAGACAGCATGCAGCAGGAGACTTTATCTAAAGCCCAAGTTCTCTACTGGGACCAGCCTGTACAGGTGTGCTTGCTAGGGGCACAGCATGGGTGGGTTTTTTGTTTGTTTGTTTGTTTGTTGTTTTGATCAGAACACAAAAACATCTGCCTTCTTCCCAGGTGTGAATAATTTTGGTCATATGTGCACTTAATCATGTCTAGGCATGAGATGATCAATGTTAGGGTCCATGAGAAGTCCCACAAAAGACCACCAGACACGTACGCAATCAACAAGAGCATTTAATTTCTTGAGAATAAAAATTCCAGTATGCTGTGGTTAAACCCTCTGACAAAGTGGCAAAATGGCCACCCAGAGAGAAGCTCACAGGTTCCTTTTAAGCCTGCTTAGGGGAATTCCAGCTGTGGTTAAGTGTACTTTGAAGTGATTGAATATAGACCCTTACTAGTACAGGAATCATTTTATGATTGGCTCAAGACATCTGGTCAGCAATTGTGGTTCCGGCGTCAGGGGTCTGTGTTCTGTGTCAGGGGTCTGTCTGTCTGCTGTGTCTGCCTTGAGAGACACAAGGTCTGATTAGAATATCTTTATTCCCGTCAGAACAGTTACAATTCCCTATTTTTTTCTGGGGGGAGGGCTGTTCTGGGGTCTGTCTGCCTTCTGTGTCTGGGGTCTGTATTTTGTGTCAGGGGTCTGTGTTCTGTGTCAGGGGTCTGTCTGTCTGCTGTGTCTGGGGTCTGTCTGTCTGCTGTGTCTGGGGTCTGTGTTTTGTGTCAGGGGTCTGTCTGTCTGCTGTGTCAGGGGTCTGTGTTTTGTGTCAGGGGTCTGTCTGTCTGCTGTGTCTGGAGTCTGTCTGTCTGCTGTGTCAGGGGTCTGTGTTTTGTGTCAGGGGTCTGTCTGTCTGCTGTGTCAGGGGTCTGTATTCTGTGTCAGGGGTCTGTGTTTTGTGTCAGGGGTCTGTCTGTCTGCTGTGTCAGGGGTCTGTATTATGTGTCTGAGGTCTGTGTGCTGTGTCAGGGGTCTGTCTGTCTGCTGTGTCAGGGGTCTGTCTGTCTGCTGTGTCTGGGGTCTATCTGTCTGCTGTGTCAGGGGTCTGTCTGTCTGCTGTGTCAGGGGTCTGTCTGTCTGCTGTGTCTGGGGTCTGTCTGTCTGCTGTGTCAGGGGTCTGTCTGTCTGCTGTACCTGGAGTCTGTATTCTGTGTCGGGGGTTTGTCTGTGTGCTGTGTCAGGGGTCTGTCTGTCTGCTGTACCTGGGGTCTGTATTCTGTGTCGGGGGTTTGTCTGTGTGCTGTGTCAGGGGTCTGTCTGACTGAAAATAGCAAGAACATTTCCTGTTTGTGGCCGGGTACGACCCTAATTGGCTACCAGACGGGATGTCCGCCTTGGGGTCAACATAGGATGGTGGGGTGATATGGGGCAGAGTTCTTAGCAAGCTGGCCCCTGAGTGGGGAGGGAACTGCCCTGTTATAAGAGTCAGTTAACACTGCTAGGGAGAGCCTTAGAAGAACTAGGCCCTCAATCAGGTACCTGGACTTTGAAAGATCCAACTCTTTCCTAAGAGGAAAGCTTTCACAAGGTTCAATAGATATTTGTAGGAATGAGTAAATCAGTAGCCCCACCATGTCCTTTTCCCTTTTAAACTACACCTCCCATGAGCTCTGTGAAGCAGGACTGCCCCAGCTAGGTAGTAGCATCCTACTGCCTATGGTGCTACTGGGAAATGTAGTTCTTCTTTTGGTTTCTCCATTCCTCGGTAAGGAGAATCTTAAAGACCAGAGGAGTTTAGGGGAGGGAGTGACACGGGTTTTCATTTGGGATTTATCTTGATTTACATATCTCAATGGCCAGGGTGCCGGGTCTGCTTGTGTGTTTCACCAACACACTACTGCAAAGGAAGGCAGGTAAACCGGAAGCCTCAGCGTGCTAAACAGGAATCCCTGGAGTTTTCACCAGGGCCTTGGGGATAGCAGGAACTGCACCGCTGCAAACACGCCAGAGCACAGAGCAGGGCTACTCACCGGGCTCTCAGTGGCCTGGCTGTCCTCCTGATGGGGCGCCGCGCGGTCCAGGGGCACCGCCAGCACAGCAGACACCATCAGTAGAGGTGCTAGGAGAAGGAAAGGGGTCCCGTGGGGCGCGGAGGTAGGCATCGTGGCTGCTCTGCGAGGAGAGATGGAGAATGGGTTTTGGTTGTTTTGCTACGGTTTTTTGAGACAAGTGTTAAGTAGCAAAGGCTGGCTTTGTAGGGATGTCCTAACCCTGTATCCGGCTGGGCAAACCATCCTTAAAGTGAGGTGTGCACGCCATCCTCAGTGCCATTCCCATTTGCAAAAATGAAGACTCCACGCGTTTCGTCACCTGGAACCCAGGACGCCAGGCCTCCAGCCTCCCTTTCCTACAGCGCAGTCCGCAGACCTTCATCCTGTCTCCCTCAAAGTAGGGAATGTTTCCCGAACCGAGATCCTAGGCCCCTAGACTCCCCTTCTCACGGGACCACGGAGACCTGAAACCCTGCAAGTACCCGGATCTCCAGTCCCCTGCCCTCCGCTATCCAACGCCCCTCACCTCTCCTAGCGCAGAGGGCGTTTTCCCACGCTGGGACCTCTGCGGGGTTTCTGGTGATTTCCCTCCTAAGTCACTCCCACTTTTCCACCCGCAGAGGACCTGCCCCCAGGATGCTGATTGGTCCACGCTGACTCCGAGCTTCCGGCGGAGGTTCCCTTACTTTGGAAAATTTCTCCTGCTTTCTTGGAAGCTCATATTCTTTTCTTTCTTTCTTTCTTTTTTTTTTTTTTAAAGATTTTATTATTTATTTTATATATGTGTACTTTATCTGCATGTACAACTTTATGCCAGAAGAGAGCAACAGATCCCACTAGAGATGGCTGTGAGCCACCATGTGGTTCGTGGGAGTTGAACTCAGGACCTCTGGCAGAGCAGGCAATGCTCTTAACCATTGAGCCATCTCTCCAACCCGGGGCTCACATTCTTAAACGTGACGTTTCCTGCGTCGTTTTCAGATAAAAGTCAAAGTCCTGCATGAGGGTGAGGGTGGGGAGGGCAACTTTTGCGGACACCTTGCCGCTGTGTCTCCTGGGAATTGTAGTTTTCTCATTTATTTTCGCTCCACAAGTTCCTGCAAGTTAGAGCTTTGGTGATAACCAACTGCATAGGATACTATCACTACTTTTTAGAAGGGTCTCATTATGTAGCCCTAGCTGGAACTGTATGTAGACCAGGCTGGCCTCGAGATCACAGCGATCCTCCTGCCTCTAACTCCCAAGTGCTGAGATTAAAATACACCACTCCCAGCCCCCTAACCCCCCTCTTTTTCCCCTGAGAAATGGCTTTATGCATCCCAAGCTGACCTTCTCCGTGATAGGAATGCTTGCACAGGAGGAAAGCCTCGATTCCTGGCACTCTGGTCTGCACCTCCCAAGTGCTAGAATTACAGGCATGAGCCACTAGGCTTATAAATTTCTTAAATGCTCTGTATGTAGAACTATATTGCTAGGTAGATACTCTTGGGTCCCTTTAAGGAATGTTGGCTTGCAGTTCCAATTCAGAACCCACAGAACAAGGGATCAGTCTGCTTCAGTGGCCTGGAGGCATTACTCTCTTGGACATGGACCTTGAGGGGTCAAAAGGGCCAAGAAGAGGGCAAGTTCCTGTGGGAACACCCCTTGCTGAGAAAGTGTTTGGCTGTGTTTAGAGTTCCAGCATCACAGCAAGGCTGTGAGAACTCCAAGCTGGTGCTAGGGAGGGGTGGGCACCTTGGGATTCCAGATAGCTGGATGCTGAGGAGTTGGGATTTGGGACCCTGAGCCACCAAGTCCCAATACTTAGAAGCAGGACCAGCCTTACCTGCTTGGTAGAGAGCTGGATTTTTGTGTTCTCAATAGTGCTTAAAGTTCAACACAGGCTACTAAGTCTCAGGCGGGCATTGGGGTTTGGGTTGTTAGGGTTCAAAATAAAAACGAAGGCAGATGTTAGGAATTAGAGGGCGGTTTCTATTGCGATATTGGGTCTAGGTCTGATTATGCCTTCCTAATCCTCTAGACCATCTCAGGAAAATGAACCGTGGAAGAAAGAGTAAGTGAGGAAACCTAATGGGCAGCGGGTTGGGGGAGAGGGGACCTAGATACCGGATACACACAGCTTCGGGGCTCATACTGTCTTCAGGCTGACCACCATCAACCATAGAAGGTGGGGGGGATCTGGACTCCAACATTGGTGGCTCCCAAGATAGCTAGAGCCTGGGGCCTCTGGTTGGGTCTTAAAGGGGAGAAAGAGTCATAACTGACCTAGAAAGCTCAGGTCCCTCACCTACTATGACATCACTGGCACTCAGAACCCAAATTGGTCAAGGGGAGGGGCTCCTGAACAGACAGAGCTGCCCTGCTGCCTGTGGCCACCAGCCTTGTGTTTCTCTCAGAACTTTGGAGGATGAGTTCTCTGGTGTGAGGCTGCAGAAGCTGGAACAACAGGTATGGCCCCGATCCCACGCTTCCATCTTCCCGACCTTCCCAGGATGCTCAGAGACCCCAATCCCATGTTCCTCTTCTCTGAAGTTCAGGTTCTCGAATTAGGAAAAGAGAAAGTAGGAATTCGGCTTTCATTTGAAACAAGACCTTGCTGCTTAGCCCAGGCTGGTCTCAAACTAGCATCTTGGGTGCTGGATCACAGTTGTGAGCGATCACACTCGCTTTGTTTTGTTACATTGCATTTACTCAGGGGTCGAGGACACGCACGCCATGGCGTGTATGTGGGGACAACTTGCAGGCCCGGTGGTCTCTTTGGGGGATTTGGGTCCCAGGGCTCAAACTCAAGTTGTCAGGCCTGATCGGAGCACAAGCGCCTTTCCCCACTGAGCCCTCTCTCAGGCCCCAATTAGCTGCTCTGTAACCTATACTGACCTCAAACTGGCTCCCACCCTCTTACTTCTATTTCTGGACTAACTACAGATGTGAGCCTTTATACCCACCTTTGTATTTGGAAACAGGGTCTCACCTAATTGTCTAGGCAGACTTAAGTCCTTGTGCCTCAGCCCGGATGGCAGCCCAGGCTGAGGAAATTTTTAAACAACAGTTCTAGAGGGCTGGACTCCTAGTTCTTGGAGGAGAAGGTGGAGATAGATCAGATCTGAGGGGAAAGGCCTGGGTATCTGGGACCCCAAAGGAGGAAGGGTACCTGGACTCTCCCAGGCCAACCTCAGCCCTGTGCCCACCACACATCCCCTCTTGATCCTTCAGCAACAGCTACTTGAGAAGAAGCAGCGCAGGAAGCGCCAGGAGCCCCTCATGGTTCAGGCCAATCCTGATGCTTCCCTGAGGCACCGGCGACCAAGGCGTGGGGATGATCGCTTCCAGTGTGACAGCGGCTGGGGATTTGGTCTGATGGAAGGGATTTATGGGGACTGGGGGTGGGGGGAGTGAGCACTGGAGGGTGGAGCCTGGTGAGGTCCAGGGCAGGAACTGGGTGGATGGTGCTGGCTGCCACAGGGATGGCCTTGTAGATGTCAGGAAGTGTCCTAATGGGACTGGAGGGGCCTAATTGCATCCAGATAGGGAGTTTGTGGTAGAGGATAGGGGTGGGACTTGAGTGTGGGCCTTTATGAGGGAACAGGGGTGGGTTCTCAGACAGCCCAGGCAGAAAATTGATTGGGCTGGGGATTTCTCAGGAGCCATTCCAATAAAGCTGGGCCCGGAGGTTACCCAGTCCTCTGACAATAAGCAGGCAGAGCTTAGACTAACTGGAGGGCCAGACCCAAAAGAATCCGGCGACTGGGTTTGTCAGAACCTAGTAGAGTCTGAGGGAACTCGGAGTGCCCAAAGACAGAAGTTCTGCAGGTAGAGTGGGAATCCATGTTGTTTGCTTTCTGTGGTGATAAGGGTCTAAAACCTAGGGCTACATGCAACCGATCTTTCCTTACTACTGAGTTTTTGTTTAGAATTTTGGGGGGCGATGGTCCCATGCTCTCAGAGGCTGGAACTTGTTATGTAGTGGAGGGTTTGAGGCAATCCTCCTGCCTTACTCAGTAGATCCTTTTAAAATGGGCCTCTCTGCACTCTCTCCCAGGTACTGGGAGTCCTTTCCTCCAGGAGAATGTACCACAGGCGCATCTGCCCACCCGGCCCCCAAGTGCCCTGGGCTCCATGAGCTATGTCAGAGATGGTGGTGGCCAGCGGGCCCCCCTTCTGCCACCCAGAGGAGCAGGTAATCTTAGGCCACTGATATTTAGGGCATGCGTCCTTAGAAGTTCAGGATTGCGTGCTTTTCCTCTGACATTGGGGTCAGGTCCAGAGCTTCCTCCTCTTGCACCAAAGGACCCCAAATCTGAAAGTCCTTTTTCTCTAGTGTATACTCAGGGCGATGGCGCTGCGGTCCACCGTCTGTGCTACCTCCCAGACACCTCAGATTCAGATGTGGAGGAAGTGACCATGGAGGACATCCTGGTCATCCCCCCGCCTCCCAAGACACATCTGGCAACCCGTTGCAGGGGCTGGCTAGCCTCCCCAGGACCTGGTAATTTTGGGGACAGGGGAGTGAAATCTGGCCCCTGGTTCACATGACACTTTGTCATTCTTGCTTTGTTAACAGCTTTATGTGGGATATCATAACTCGTGGGTCTCCCAGGTCATCTGTCAAGGTGTCTAGTCCCTGTCACACAGTGTACTCAGATGTAAAACCATCATCACATCAAATGCATGTGTTTAAACTGAGTTTAGGAGGGATGGAGTGGATATCTATGTATCCCTGGGCTGGCCTTAAACTCACAGGGATCCACTGACCTCTGCCTCCTTGTGTGCGGGATTAAAGGCTTCTTGTACCACAACCAGGTTATTTGTTATTAATATTTTGTTTTTGTTTTTGTTTTTGGGTTTTTTTGTTTTTATTTTGTTTGTTTGTTTGTTGAGACAGGGTTTCACTGTGTAGCTTTGGGGCCTTTCCTGGAACTTGCTCTGTATACCAGACTGGCCTTGAACTCACAGAGATCCACCTGCCTCTGCCTCCTGAGTGCTAGGGTTTAAGGCGTTCGCCACCACTGTACTGCTATTTGGGTTTTCCCTTCTTGTTTTTAATTTTTATTTTATTTATTTATTTTAGTTTTTCCAGACAGGGTTTCACTGTGTAGCCCTAGCTGCTCTGGACCATGTTTTGTAGAAACAAATCTTTTTAGTTTGTGTATGTGCATCTGTGTATGTTTGTGAATGTGAGTGCAGTTCCCACAGAGACCAGAAGAGGAAGTCAGACCCACTGGAGCTGGAGTTGGATGTGTTTGAGAGCCATGAAACTTGAGAGCTGGGAACTGAACTCGGGTTCTCTACAAGAGCAGAATGTGCCCTTGACTGTTAATCTATCTCTCCAGCCCTTTAATTATTTGTTGTTTATTTTAACTTGTTTACTTTTGACCAGGAATTGTGACACATGCCTTTAATTACCAACACTGGAGGCAAAGGCAGGTGGATCTCTGTGTTCACAGCAAGCTCAGTCTAGAAATCTGTCTCAGGGGAGGGCAGAGCCACACAGTGAGACATTGACTCTGGGAGATGAGGACGTAGGTTTCATCTCTGTAGGTTCCATGTGCATAGGAAGTGCACAGAGGGTGGTCAGTGGAAGAGGCAGACCAAGCCGCTGGGAACTGGAGTTCCTGTCCTGTCTAGCTGACAGTGCTGATCCTCCCCTAAC